CATTGACAGCTATGGATTATAACATTTAATGCAAATACTGTACTTCTATCAAATTGGTTAAAGGTGTTTTTAAATGTGCTGTCTTGTATGGACCATGCGCCCAGACATTTAAACTTGCTATATGTGCGTGTGTAAAGAATGCCTTTTTTCTTTGGGACTGTAGTAAAATCTGGAAGGAGGTTCTGATTGGAATGCATTTAGTGATCTGTACCCCAGCCCTACTAAAAAAGAAGTCCAGATTTCCACCACCACATATTAGTCATCTTTGCTGTTAACAGTTTAAAATAATTTTCTATAGACTTTCACCAAAGTCTCTGAGTTGTTCTGTAACCTTGATGGTCACACACATAGCTATTTGTAATAGATGAAACTACTGCTGGTTGAAAAGAAGTTTTATGACAGGCTAGAGACCTGATAATGGAGTGGGGAATCCTTTACTCCCCAGCATTAATTTTAATTTAGAACACTTTTGTTAATAGCAGTAAACTTTTTTTAAAGATGGCTGTCATTGTATTTTTTAAAATTGTATAAATTTTTAAAAATCTTATGTGCAGGTTGCCTTGAGTCTGTAGATTAATCCAAACAATAGTAATGTGACTCACCCATCTTTTTACTTACCAATGTATTTATCATCTTTCCCATTCCTTGCCCTCACCCGTGTAACTCAGAGTGTAGGAAGTTTTTCTATCAAGAGCCCTGTAAATAAAACTAATTTACATAATACAAAGTAAGACAATAGAGCTAGGTTGAATTAATCTGTCTCATTCAGTCTCTTTTTAAAAATAAAGTATCTATCATAGAGAAATTGCAATAAGGTAGTTATGACAAGCAGAGAAACTTTGCTGACTCTGCCTCAATTAGTCTCTTACCTTGAAATGTTAGTGATATGTCTGCAGAAAAGAGGAAGATACTTAGTAGTCATCTTCCAAAGACAGCAATGCAGGCAAGTTTTCAAATCTTGAATCTATTAAAATACTGTAAATAAGAGTTGTGAGAAGATGTAGGTTAAATTAAGTGGTAAAATATACATAATGTGTTTAAATGTCAGGAACAGGATTTTTTCAGTGTTTGCAATGAAGGAATCTTTCTTAAAACACACAAATTTTCCCAGTTTTAATGCTAACATTGCTATTAGTTTTCCCCCCTACAGTACTCTTTGCTTGTAATTTTTTTTATGATTTATCTCTAGGTGGGAGCTTGTGGGATCTGTCTCTCACTGCAGAGCTGGGGCAGGCGTCGCTGTGTGTTCTTGTCTTTGTAGCCAGATCCGAGACGTGGGTCAAGGATCCAACAATGTGGTTGACTGCATGTGAACAAGTCTCTTGGATTTCTCCAGAATTCAGGTGGAAAACTGAAAACTGCAGTATGGAGGGACATGACCTCAGCAGTGCTGCTTTGAGTTTTTTAAACCTACTGCTACATTGTAAGGTAGACAAAAACCATGAAAGCATCTTGTATGTGATAATGGAAGTTATGAGACCAAGGCTTGGACAGCATTCTGAATCTTTTGAGTTAAAATAGTCTGGGCAGATATGGAATAAGTTCTAGCTTGTTCTTGAAAACACATCCCTGGTTGTTTTCTAAAGCTTCCGAAAGCTTCTAAAGCTTGAGACCTTTGTTCTAGACTGATAATTAAACAGTAAAAGGGGATAAATTATAGTGAAGCGAATGTGCTTTGCATTGTTGACCTTGACAGCACATCCCACCTAAATGTGTTTCTTAGGCTGGGATAAAAATGACACCCTTGTGTTAATCAGAATTCAGTCTTAAAGAATTGCTAGTTCTGCAGCATTTTACCAATATGAGAAAAGCTTTGGGTTGGTCTAAAGTATATGCATCTCATTTATACATAAAAAAGTATACAGGTTAAATGCCAGAACTTTAGGACTGTGGGTATTCAACCCACATTTAGTCCATTTGTGGTAGCGCTGAGGTCCAGAGTACTGGCTGGTCTGTGTGGAGTTTAGAATATTCTTCCTCATGTCTGAAGTGTCCCCTGTAGAAAAGTTAAGTGTTATAACAGAAAGCATCCCTGAGGCTTCCTGTGTAGTTTTCTTCTATTTTTAGAATAGGGTCTGTCTAGATATGTACAGCTTACATGGTCCCTTGGAGCTTTACATTTGATGGATTTTATGGAAACAGGAATACCATTGTTGGAAGACGTTACCATGTCTAAATGTTATCCAGCTGAAATCTATCTTCCAATGTAACAAAGTGGCTAACATTTTAAGTTTTTCAATTCCAGCAACAACTTAGTGGTGATGTGAGGCTGCTGGTTCTTTATTAAAGAGCTCAGCTGTTAAATATTCAGACAACCAAGCAGCAAATCTTCAAATGAAAAATCCTTGATCAAATTTTCCAGTGGTTTCTAAACCAAAGAAAATAAGCAGAAAAATGATCTGGAGTCTAACAGTGTTGTTATTGCCAAAGATGTGTATGGATACTTGGTGATTTGATCTATTTTTGAATTGGAACATAACTGTACTGCCATGCCAGAATATCTATTGCCACATTGAAAGACGTGTCCTAATCCTGATTTAAGCTACTAATGAGCTGTAGTTACTTATGTACATAGTGTATATTATTTAATTGCTACTTCTAACCTGAATCTCTTCTATGTATTACTTCAACCTTTACTTAGCTGTATGATGTGGTTTTTGTTTTTGGTGGGGGGGGAGGGGTGCAGCTAGGAAGTTCACTGAAATCTTCCACAGTTTGTATATGTTCACAATTTTCTTAATGGCATATAGCATTACCACTGTTCAGCCCTCTCTGTTGTTGCACTAATGTAATTAAAGGTGTGGGTGTGAACAGATTACAATGATTGGCGAGGATATTCTGGCTTCTGCTCCTAATGTATTGAACACACAAGTAAAACTACTTTTACAATAAAATACCCAAAGCGGTAGTCTTACATAGTCCTTCCAAATGGTACATGAAGACTTGCGTGATCAGGCATTGTCCCAGAGTTAGGGTGCAATTAATTAGGTATTGTTCCTTTTCATGCTCATTACTCTCCAAACTAAGTTCTCTTCTGAGTTTATATATATTCTTTTACAGTTCTCTTCTATGTCTCATATGTGGTCAGGCCATAAATTCTGACTAATCACCTTTTGCAGCAGTCATCTTCCTGTTAGGCTGCTGTCTGCATTCTGTTTTCTCCGACTGAGCGCACATCCTCTCTTAATATTCTTACTGAGATGGATTATAAAGAGGTCACCCTAAACTATGAAACACTTGCTTTTGCTTTTAGTTAACAGCATTAGTTATGCCAAGTCACAAAATGGTTTCAGGCCTACATTATCCTATTGATTAGTTTGGTGCAGTACAGTATTTGCCTTTGAATTGACCTTAGTTTTATTATAGTATCTTGACAGGACAGCTTTGCTGAAATTTCATTTGCCTTGACCTTGCCTTAAGTTGCCTTCCTTCTAGCTTCATTTGTATATTTAAATGTAGTTCATTGGAATATTTTAATTATTCAATGATTACCCTATTATAGCCACCACAGATGTTAAACATTTGGTGGGTACTATATATGGAATTAAAATGCTGATATCTATAAGAATATCATGCATATTCATAGAGAGAAAGATGACTTGAAATCAAAACCAGCAGTAGAGTTGAGAAACTGTAAGGCAAGGCAACATTGCATTGTACAGAGAGCAATTATTTTATACACTGCTTGTATAATTGATGAGCAGTTTTGGCATAGACCACTACAACTTCACAAGCCTGAATTTTCCTGCCGAGACCAGCAGTTGACAGAAATTTTACATGACCAGAGTTTGACATTAAATAAATAGAAGGGATGAGGGAGCCAGAGTATAGGAACAAATATTCTTCAGCTCCCTCTGTGCAAAAATGAAGTTTATTTCCTGCCGATCGGGACTCTTTATCATCTTGTACCATCTATATTTTTCCCAGAGCCTGATGAAGGGACTTTTATCCCAAAAGCTTGCAGAAAAGGACAGTTTTCTTGCCATTTCCCAGTTGGTCTAATAAAAGGTATCATGTTGGAACCAAGAGTTCTAGTTTTTTGTGGGTGAATCAGAAATTCAGTACCATTGTAGGGAGACTGTATCTTTATCACAAATCTCAAAGCACATTGTTTCTGTACTGCACTGCCATGTTTTAAAACTTGTATTTCAAATTGCTAGTGATTCATGATATTCAGGTGACAAAGTGAAGAATGGATTCTTGTAAATAGATGTGGAAGTTGCAATAAGAACATTTGTATTGCAAGATGCTCTTTCAGTGCAACAGGTTTGCTACAATAGGGATAGATATCTGAATTGCAAACATACTATAATAGCAAATTAGTATGTTACTTACATTTTAGAAAGTAGCCTTTTTCATTTTGTAGCCTGCATTACAGGCACTGTCTCTGGCCAAGAAGAGCTGCACAGAGTACAGCCTTCAGCATCCTTAAGTGCTTGCATTAATTTGAACTTGGAAGAAGGATGGCTAACATGGCCTCACATTATCTGTAGGCCTTCTCCATCCTCCTTTTACAGTGGGGGTGGGTGGGAGGAGTGCTGGTGTCCTCTAAGTTCTAGTGCTGCTGTGATCAGTCACCAACTTACTTACCTTTGCCAGAGGGTAAGGGGTAACTCCCCTCTTGCAGAGGCTGGATTAGGCTTTGGAATTTCGTTTAGACCTGAACATCCTCTCTCCTTTTTGCTTTGTTTTAGCTGTCTGGGTCCAAGCAGCCCAGTATGACTGCTTTTCAATTTGCATCCTCCTCCAGGAATTGGTATCCCATTGCTAACAGACCCTAGGCCAAGCTCAATGTTTACTAAACATGCCTGTATAATAAAAGAAACAGCTTTTATTGGAAATGCAAGGAAGTCCACAAAATATGGGAACAGATTTCTCAGTCAAATGATGCTGAGCTTAGGAAAGCAACAGTAAGACTGTCTTAGGTGATGGCAAAGCAAATTATTAGTTTGCTGCATATATATTTTACAGGGTTTTATAGCATAGAAGCCATCTACCCTTTTACTTAATTAAGGAAGGAATTTGCTTCATTCTTGAGAAACTGCATGGCAAGAAGCTCAAACCTAAAGGGGAAGAAGGTAATGAGAATTTGATGGCAATATTGTATTTAAAAGCACCAAGGAGATTTCTGAATATGGACACTCTATTGTGTGGCAGGTTCTGAGTCCTTTTCATTCTAGGCCAGTCTCATTCCACAATTACTATTAATAAACAGCTACTGGTCAACAGTACCTTAAGGGAAGCAGTCATGAAGAAAACATTGTGGACTTAACTTGTATTCCAAAATGACAGCTCTGTTTATATGCAAGTCTTACACTTGAATGTTAAGACATTGTCATGTAGAGGTAGGCTTTTTTGTTGTACTGATTTAGGCAAAGGCTGCAGTACAGACACAGTAACAACAATAAAAGCAGCTGCTGTTCAGGGAATTCATAGAAGGTACACCAACGTGCACACAGGCTTGTTTAAGCTGCTTGTATATGAGGAGGATTTGCTGGTACAGACAGATCTACAGCTTCAATACAGGTACTGAAAATAAGAGTGGAGCAAGTCTCAGAATGAGAAAAGCAAGCATTTACTGGGACCATGAAAGTACCACCTCAGTGTAATGACTTACTCACATAAAGGCTATATGTTATGTTTACAGCAGGACTTCACCAAGCTCATGTAAAAAGTCTGTGGAAAAACATTTCTGTCTTTGTTGGAGGTGGTGGTGTTCTTTGCAGCCTAACAGAATGATACAAAATTGACAGGCATTTAAACTGAACAGGAAGACAATGCAATAATTCTGTGGATCTTGAAACAGGTTTTCTAAATGATTAGGTAGCCATCTAGTGGTCTAGACCATAATATTGTTCTGCATAGTTGACTTGGGTTTCTTACTGTATTAGTCCTTTGAAACTTTTAAGGGCGGATAACAATCAAACTGATTTTTAATTTTTTTTTAATGTTGTAATTGAAATGATAACTTATGTTAACATCTAAACATATTCTAATTATTAATTGAAAAAACAAGCAGTATATTTTGCAACTGAAATTCCAATGTAATAATGACTTGCCCTTGATTAGAGCTTGTTAAGCAAAGAGTAACTATTTTGAACCAGTTATCTCAGACTTTTAGTTTCTTCTGCAAGGGTAGAGAGTCAGCATTTTTCTCTTTTCAGTTTATTCAAATAATAGTTTATTCAAAAGTGAGAGGGACTGGGTGTCAGAAAAGCAACAAAGTTTATTTCTCCCCTCCTAGCACACAGTTAAAAATAAGAGTACGTCAGTTTTAAAATTATGCAAGATGAGATGACTAGAAACAGCCAGTTTGGTTCATATACTTCCTGTAATAAATCAGTTAAATGCCAAACGTGTTTTGATACCAGCTAGCTTGTGGTTGTTTTATTTAACAGAATTTTAAAAATGCTGCTTTTATGCATCCAAATGTACCTAGACATAAATCTCAAACATCTAGGAAGGTCATGTATCAATTTTTTATCGTAATAAAAATGTAAAAATTAAGAATCTAAATATGTACTGATCAAATGCATCCACCTATGTAAGAAAAAGTTCCAAATTATACTAATGGATGAGAATCAGTCTTTGTTTGGAAAAATAATGGAAGTAAAAATATAAAGCAAGATTAGAACAAACTTGAGTGAGTAAACAGGAGTATGCATTTTAAAGAATTTAAGACAAAAATGGCAATATAAATCAACCCACACTGGTATTTTAAAATGTAAGGTTTGAGTTGCACTAGGTCTTTTTAAAGTTTTCCAGAGAAAGCAAGCTCTACCACTAGTATATCCCAAATGTTAAGGTCAGCAAGTGAAGTAACCTCTAAACCATGAAACAAGAGTTAGAAAAGTCCCATTCCAGTTGTGCTCAGTTGGTTGACCCTATGGGTCCACAGGCTGGACTGGCCTCTGTGCCCCAATTGGTCCTCTGCATTTCAGCTAGTGTGTAAAGGTCCCCCTGTGTCTAGAAATTTGACAGCAGGAGAGCAGCAAACAGCTGCTGCTTCTCCCACAGCCAAATTTTCATGGCTTTGTGGGCTGGATCTAGCCTGTGGGTCAAGCACCTAGTGCAGCACCAAAACCAGGGTCCTTGCAAAAAACAAGCATTAAAAAGGTGGTTGGGGGTGGAAGGGGGAACTGCCTAACAACAAACAAAAATTAAACTTAAAAGGGGCTAATTTTTATCAAGTAGCACTTAAAGCAGGGACTTTAAGAATTTGGGCAGCCACATGGGTGGAAGGCAGTCAGAAGCTGGAGCCAGAGCCCTACATGCTAAGGCAGGAGCTGCCTGGCTGAAGCTTCCTCTATGCCCGGAGCAGTACACCAGGGGCAGAAGCAGAAAGAGCAGCCACTGGTGGAGGTGAGAGAAGCTGAGCAGTACCCAGGTGTCTGCAGCTGCACCAGGAGCAGCCTTGCCAGTAAGCTGTGTGCACTGGCTGGGGCCAGGCTGGCAGGCCTGGGCAGAAGCGCACTGCAGGCTGCCCTACAGCTCAGCCAACATGTGGAGTGCTGTGGGGGCAGCCATGGACTGTACCACCTGGATGAGCCCTGCTGCACATGAGCTGTCTCCTCCCCTCACCCCCAGCCAGATCCTGGGACCTAGTGGCTGGGCAGACTCCCCCCAAACCCTGTCACAGGGCAGGGGTGTGTAGGGAGCAGATCAAAGCTTTGTCACTTCCCGGTGACCCTGCCTTGTGATCCTGGTCTCAACAGCCCACCCCGCTCCTGAACAACACTCCCTGCCTGCCTGCCTGCAGCCACATCCCACATAGGGATTTTTAGCTAGTTGTTGCAGTGGAGGTTTGCACTGACCCTGCCCACAACAATTCATCAGAACTCTTTATGTGGCCTCCAGGCCCAAATAATTGTCCACCCCTGACTTAAAGTAACCTATAGAATGTATGTATC